CTTTAGCATCTACATTCTGCAAATGTGAAACAGGCAGCATGAGGATGCGCATGTGCTATCTGAGTGTGCGGCACGCCCAGCCTTGCAGACTTGACAGCTGCATTACCATCGCGACTGTACATCAGTTATTGGACAGTGATGCCCCACCCACCCCGAACTGTCTCTTCAAGCAAGCTGGTGTGGGATTGAATGCTTGTGAAGTCCGCGCTCCCGTGACGCACAAGAAGGCTAGCACAGACTTGGCCACCAACAATCTTATGACATCTTGTGATAATTTCAACCCTGCTGTGCCCTGCCTGAAATCCAGTTTCTGGAGGCCTTGCAGGGAAGCTGAGGAAATCAGCGAAGCCTGGGCACCGTTCCAGAAAAAACACGCTCACCGAATGCTCTCCCTCACTCTCTCTCTCTCTCTCTCTCTCGAAATTGTTTCACATGGAACTTCTGGATCCACAGTTTGATACGACTGACAACGCATTGTCCAGTGTAACCCTTCTGGTCAGGGGAATGCAACCCAACGCTTGAATCCAAACAGTTGGGATTGGATGACCCGGGGCAGGGGCACGAAGTTCGCGATCCAACGAAGATGCAATACAGTCAGCTCTAAAAGGTGATGCAGTCATCTCTCAGGCACGCACCTGTAAAGCCATGCCTTTATCCAATCAGCGGGGGCGCCACTTAGTCACTTGCACAGAACATCATGAGACTACAAGCCCTGGACTGCCCTCATGCATACAAACAACGTCTATACAAGTTGAAACTTGATCTTACACGACCGGCCTCCGGCACCGCCTGCAGCGCTGCAAGTCGACATGTTGACAGGGACGGCAATCCTCTGCATGTTTTTGCAGCATGTGCACGAACATAGCAGGACATGCAGCTGGCGCTCTGATACTGTACTCCAATGCTGACCAGTCTCACTTCCTGCGCGTGGAAACCTTCCGGCCTGCCGATTAATATCTTGGTTGCCATACCGGCTATCTTCAGCAAAGAGGAGGTGCTTACTAGATAGTGCTTTACGGGCTGCGCCTGCAAAATTTTGACCCTCTCCGGTGCCAGCTGAAGAAGTTGAAGCTTCCAAACTGATTCATGATATGCCTTTGCTTTCCTCTGCTCGGGACTTCTGCTTCAGCCGTGGCAGGAGGTTGCTTGAAGGGAGCGGTATTCCACACAAAGCCCGGCCTGATGGCCAGGGCATATTCGATTGCAAGTTGTGCAAGGAGCGGTGTCATCACAGCGAGAGCCTTAAACTTGAGACTCTATCGCGCGAGTTGCCTGAAACGTGATCTACTACCTGTAAGTGCTGAAGTCCGTGGTTTGCACCTGCAATGTGCTGCCTCTGCAGTTGATGCAATCGCACGTTTGGTTGGGGACGGCTACGCACAGCATCGCGGTCATTAGCTTCAATTCAGGCTATGGTCAGTTTACTTGCCAGGCTCGGACTACACACCACAGAAGGCACAGGGCTGCTGAAACGAACTGTCATTCTAAAAGCCTTAGGCCCCTGCATCGACGTAAAGCTGAAGCCCTGCCATAGTTAGCACATGCGAGCAACTCATGAGTTGGATCTGCAGCTAAGCCTTAGCTTCAGATCGAATCAACAGTTTTCTGTTGCATAACTTGGTCATCTTTTTCGGCTGCTCCGACCGCCTCCACCCAATAGCCAGCATTTTCATTGCAAATCTTGTTGGGCATTAGGACTCATTTGTCATGAACGCTAATGCCATGCGCGCCCGTCAAGGAGAAGGATTGAGATGAGCTGGGAGCCCCGGCGCAGCAAAAGGCGGACCTCGGCACCTTTGGCCAAAGGCGCGCTCAAGAGCAACTCCCACCTCAGACAGCTTCATGCATCGAGCCCTTCAGAAGAAAAGGTTTGTGAGAAGGGCTTGGATCGAATGAAGCTGTGGACAGCATTGCATGGACTAACCTCTCCTTACACAGCGTAGCCTTGGCCCGGCACTCCTTGGATGGGGAAGCTGCTACCTGCCAAGTCTGTAACTCATGTCACGTGCGCACAGTACTGCTTCGAAGTCAACGGCTATCGCCTCCACGACCTGAAGGCCCTCGGTCGAGAGCAGTTCCAGGGAACTCGCGTTCAAGCCCTCCAGGACGATAAGCGGAGCTCACAACATCTCAGAAAGTTCTGCTGTAACTAGCCCAAGGAGTCTCAAGTGGCTCCTGCAGCACCAATCGAGCTCGCAGCGCTGTTGACCTTGCAGCGATAGACCGATAGAAGGGACATCAACCCGAACTTGCGTGCTGCCCTTGCACAAATTTGAGAGCATTGCGGGGCCGCAATTTGCGGAGTGAAGCGAATAACAAATGGCACTTGGCCTGGCAAAGACCATGGCCTGGGCAGGCGAGTGAGCGGCCCGAAATCTCCAATATGCCAGGTAACAACATGCTCAAGTCGTAGCGCTTTTGGGGGCTCCTATTGCATTCCCAGCAGACCTGTCGCTTCAGGGGGCTTCTGTTGCACTCCTTGACACTCTGCGTAAGTTTAGGGTTTGGCCTCTGGCCGGCTCAGTGGTTTGCATGGGTTTTGTGCATACCTAATTATCCGACTTGACCCCTCAATCCAGCAGGCGTTCCTGAGACACAGGCTGAACCAGTGGGGATAGGAAGTCAGCCCAAACAGTGAGCGGTGCCTTAGCGGCGCTCGAAGGCCTCCTCGTGGGCAGAAACGCAGTAGCTGCGTCTCAAGCACACACACCGACTACCGAGGGGTGAGAGCCGGGCCAAAGCAGCAGCGAAGAATCCCAAGGAGGGCCGGCGCATGCGCCGTCTCGTCACCTCATCAGAGAACACCAGAGCTTTGACATTCCTGAAGCCGAACGACAAAATTGAGCTGAGTTAGAGCTCCGATACACTCACTGTTGACCCGGTGCTTCCCTGTATACATTTTCCATGCGCGAACACCGCAAAGAAATCCTGGGATGCCGGGACATGATAAAGGGAAATACCACAGCTTCGAAATTAGTTTGAAGTCAGGACCTTTCCTGTCCTACACTGTGACCAACGAAGATGACAGGCCAGGTGCCAGTCACCAAGTCAGATGAATGATGCTGCAATGCAGTATCATTGTTCCTGCATCAGGAGCTGTCCGCACCACCAAGTAGGCCAAGCCAACTAGGTTTGGGCAAAAACTCAAAGCATCTGTGAAGTATTGACCTTTCAGCCCTCGCGAACAAAAAAGCAGGGCCAATCATAGAGCACCAAACGCAAGAAGGTACAGATTCCCAAACTCCTCGGTTGAGGACCCGACCCCACACACAGTGAAGAATTGTCCGTGTCCCTGAGGAATATCGATTAGTTTGAGGATGCCGTAGACCCTCCAGAGCCACGTGCATGCCGTGCGTTCGCACTAGCGGGCACCGAGGCTGCCACAGTCCACACATAGCTAGCCCAACAGCCATCATTGCATCAGCTCTGGAAAAATCACAATTTGAACCCTTTGCTAAACTGCCATTCCCTACTTTGCAGGAGCTCCATGGAATCGTCATGAGCTCAATCGTCATGCATTGTCATGCTGGACGTATCTCTGCGTTCTGTGCTGTATCCTGCAACTGAGGCAAAGCCTTCCAAGCCTTGAGACGCAACGAGTGTCCAGGTGCAGCGCGCTTCAAGCTTGCAGCTTAGACGAGGCTACAGTGAAGCTTGCTGGCTGCCATCAGACATCTAGGTGGGTGTTCAGCTTAGGGAACGTATTGCCTGGCACGTGCTTGAGCTGACGTGGGGCATCATCATGCTAAGTGTTCAACCGGTATCAAACCCCGTCGTGTCTGTCAACGCCCAGGACCCCAAATTAAATGGTGAAAACAAAGAACAGAGTTGATTGAGGTAAAAAGGGCACCTTCAATTTCTGCGGCTGGCCTTCCGCGTTCGTTCTGCAAGCGGGGCCGGGGCCAGGGTGTTCAGAAATGCACCGCCTACCCCTGATCTACCCAATAAAGCGAATACCTTGTGGGTCGCTCGTGAATGTGGGCTTGGCCAAGGCGGCAGGACCTCCTCGCCGTTGGCTATCTCAATCTGCACCTCAGTGGTAGTGGCAGCAAGTAGTCGCAAGCTGCGCGATGCAACTGCGACAGGACACTGGTCAGTAAGACATCTCCAACCTTACCGCTTGAAGGCTTGCGAATGGTGACTCAATGTCGTGCGCAAAGAGTAGCCAGCGGCTAAGTCGGCTAAGTATATTGCAAGACAGGCACCTGGGGCAAGTAGATCTGGAATTGGCGCAGCACCCACAAGCAGGAGACGCAAGGTGAAGTCGACCTCTTGTATTGCGCGGGCTGCGCCCAACATGTCGGAAAAGGCGTGCTTCAAGTTCCACTCCCTCCGCTGCTAAAGGCAGCTGATACACACAGTTTTGACAGTGAAGGAAACAATACCATGCGTTATGCCAGGTAAGCAGCTCAAAGGCCTGAGTCCATTGTTTTGCCCGCTCGGCAACACGTCCAATCTGCTCGCGTTTGCGAGAGACTGCACATCTGCGATGCCATTGTAAAAGGATGCGGAAGAGCGAACTAGACTTGTGCCACAGCATGTCACAGCTTGCGTAGGACTTCCGCCGGATTGGTTTGCTCCTGAGGAGCAACCTCCTGCCGTGAACCTTTTCACGGCGGAATCTAACCTGAATTGTGCCAAGTTCATGGGTGAGCCTCTTTGTGGCACTTGTGCGGCTTTCTGAATTGCAGGTTCATGATCTGACCATGCGCCGCTTGGCTGGGTTCGAGTATCCCACATGTGCCACCATGAATCTGGCCAAAACGAAAAAATGCTTACTGCACTCCCATGGATGTCTTTAGACTCAAGATCTCTTGTGGGAAGTAGGCATCCCTCAATGGAGGACGGGGCACGTTGTCCATGAGTTGCAGCGCGCAGTCTTGGGTGCTTTGCTCCCACACTTTCCAAGGTGCGGTGCTTGGAAACTAAGCTGACAAACACACGTCGAGGGCTTTACTCCGCTAGAATGTCAACCTGCTTTGCATGTTGCGAGATATCCATCATCCCTGCACCTTCTGCACAGTCGCTTCGGATTCCTGAGCTGGGCGGTCTTGATACAACATCCATAATAGGGCCATAAGGATGCAAACTGCGAGCAAGGCTAGAGTCTACAGCTCATGCAATTCACCTTGGCACACAAGAACATCTTCTCAGATCATGCTTGGCGTTCGTCCTGGTAGCCTCCTGCATGCACTGAGTCCTCCCCGCCCTACTACCCCATCCCGGGCTGCGCTTGCTGTGAAGGAATCATTTGCGCTGCAAAGAGCTCAGCTTGCTACCAATCTCGACCTCCCTCACCCGGACCCTCTTATCCTTCGATAAGATCCACTGCTTTCCAAATCTTGTCCGCCCCCTACCGCTGCTCAAGCAAGGGACAACTGAATCCTGCTATGCCAGCTTTCGTGATTTGTAGCATGCGCCCAGCGCTACTGCAGATAGATAGATATATATATATATGTACATATGCATATAGATATATAATATACATCTACATATATATATATATACATCAGTCGATAAACTTTCCCTGCCAGGACTCTCCAAACTCCTGCGCAGGTGCTGAAGACGTCTTGTTGCAGTAATATGGCAGCTGCCAGGCCTCGGAATCAAGAATCACGTCAGGGAGGTCAGCCATCCCCCACAAGCATTGCTGCACAAATCCTGCAGTGTGCGCCAAGGAGCGACGACAGCATTGTTCGCAGGGCTGACAAACATTCCGTACTGCCCCGAGATGGCAACCTGCTCTCCACTTGGGGCTGCCGGCTGCAGTCCGTTTTAGGTATAAAAAGAGCCACAGGCTTCACCTCAACACCTAGCACACCTGAGACTTGGCCTCTGAGGATTGAGAGTGTCGGTATGTTTTGAAGCTCTACCCGCCGCCCACTCCAGTTCCTGCCCCACTCGCCCCCGTTTCCGGACGAGATGGGACGAGACACCGATGCACGAATAGGACCAAACAGGGGCAAGCGAGACTGACGAGCAGGGCAAGTGGGACGAGTGGCACCGACAAGACAAGTAGGGCAAGTGGGGTGGGAGCTCGTAAAGTTCCCCACTGCTGTTGCAGGTTGAAACGGCGGACATGCATAATGGTGCTGAGATGGAATAGCTAAACTGCTAGACGCTTGCAAGCCAAAGACCTTTTCGCTTCAGCACGCCCATCGAATGTAAATACGAACTTGAAGCCAGGCAACAGTCTCGATGCCGTTGAGCTCAGCGTGATCCTCGCACTTGGCAATGCTCATTGTTGACCGAATCGTTCAAAGATCAGAAACACCAGTGATGCTGCGCAAGCGTAGTCGATACTCGTATGCAGTCGTGTGCCCTTCAAGGTCCGTCCTTCAAAGTGCCGACGTAAACCGGCGAACGTGGCTCGTGGATGTCGATGACAGTGAGGGCATCATTGTATGCGCTTGCAACATAAGCAAAACGGCCTTAGGCATCAGTAGTAGGAATCCGGCGGTATCATGAAGAGCGCCTACGGATTCAACTTAACCTTTGTATGGTGCGTACTTCGGGCGGTGGGAACCCTACTAGTGCCTGATGTACCTGGACATGGCTGGTAGAAAGGCTGCCTGTGCAACGCAGCGGGTTTGGCCGGCATTCTCAACTTTCACCCGCGCTGCCATGCAATCAGAAAAGTGGCCTTTGCCTTTGCCTTTACTCTTAGCGACCTCTGGCTTGGATGCATGTTGGGCACTTGCAGGCGTGGCACAGTCAACGGCCACATGGCTTGCCATGTCAGCAGTGACACGCTCCACCACGGAGACGAGAACTGGGTTCTTTACGTCTGTCAAATCAATGACCTGAGGCGTGTCATTCCCCAATGTGAAACCTGTTAATCCCTGAGGGCTGATGGCTGCCATTGCAAATCATTTACCAGAGGATTGACAGTGACTCCTCATGTAAAATCGCTCACTTGGGTTTAATGTTGCTTCATATACCTTGCGCTGGGAATTTGCGGAACGGCTTCACCAAGGGCATGCGAAGCATCTTTAAAAGTTTTGGCTACTCAGTTTGCACGTGGTCTTCCACTTCTTCGGCAATGAGCAATTTTTGGGTGAAACTAGTGCTGGTCTGAAATAAGATTTGTCTGAGCAGGACATACTGGGTGGGTCTGAAGGTGTGGCCCACGAGCTTCTACCTGCCTTACTTCCATGTGATTGACAAGTCTGGCAAGTGCATGCATATTCCATCTTCTGCCACTTTCCCCCAGACTTGTTGATGCGTTTGTGTCATCTACATATGTGCGTAGGTGCAATCGTAAGAATGCGCCTAAGATTCTTCTTTCTGAAGTGCATCCAGCTGGGCTAGTTCGGCCTGGGTTCATTGGATGGACTCTGAACCATCAGCCATGACAGCAGCCATGATTGATTGCATGGCGTTGAATACTTGTACTTCCCAAACTGTCGTTGACCTAGCTTTGTCCCGGAACATGTTCTGCTAGTGTCCGTCCAGAATGAGCGTGAGTAAGTAGCACGATTCTTCCTTGGCACGTTTGATCCATCTGCTCTGGAAAGTTCATTGTTGACGTGCGTCTGTTGGTAGTAGGGTGTATGCATTTAGTGTACTTAAGCTTCATGTTATAGTTTTTAGGGCTCCTGTCGAGGCCTGCTGATGGAAGGAATAAAAGTTGTCCGAATATCACTGAATCATCCGCCGCGTAGAGAATCCTGAAAAGAGTATGGCACGGGCTCTTTTTGCTCAGGAATCTTCATGACTAGGAAGAATAAACATCGTGAGCCGGGAATTGCTGTCATATTCCAGCATTTTGCAACATAAAATCCGATTTCCCTTCAGGTCACCTTACTTTGAAGGGTTCGTCGTCCTGTCTGGGCGCCTGAGGACTTCCAGTACGCAGTCATGGTCTGTTTTAGTGAAAGCTTCCCACTCTAGCAAATTACTTGCGATGTTGCTTTCACGTTTTTTCAGCAAGATCCTGCCAGCTACGCATGCAGTTAACAGAAGCGTTTCAAAACTATCGCGGATATGTCGTAGATCCGGAGTCTTGGTATGTGGTCACGTCACGAGGACTTCGCAAGGTAGGTGCTGCGCAAAGCAAAATTGTGCCAAGCAAAAGATTGTCGCTCTTCACGTGGGTCGTATCATGTGTCCCTCGGGAACTTTACATATCCGCCAATGGAAGACATGCAACGCCTGGAATCAGAGGCCGCACCAAGTCGTGTTTGGCTAGGTGTTTACGATTGGGAGCCGAGTCCTGAAGTTTGCACAAGTTTGCGCCATTCAGCTTGCATCTTGTCGGCTGGCGCACATGGACCAGTTTGAATGCCTGCTAAAATTTGCTGCAGCCAAATTTTCTCTGGACTTCTGCAGTTTCCGTCTCCCCCTCCCACATGCGCAATAACGAGGTAACTGCATTGCTGAGGCGACTACGGAAAGCGTGTTGGGCGTAGCGCTAGCAACCTTAGCTAAGTGCTCCTGTTTCCCAGCTGCACAGCTTCGACTCTTTTGCAACACTGCGTGGCCGAAACTGCTAGGGCCAGGGAAGCCAGACACAATTCCTTTCCTGCTGCCTCGTCACATAAGCATAACTACCCTGGACAGCCACAGACCGTGCTTCTCGAAGGCTCGGCAGATCACCCAGCACACCTCGGCAGGGCTCAGTCAGCACCTGTCTTTCCAAACCATTCTTCGTTTGGTGATCCCGGACAACAAACGGGTTGCCTAACTCCAGTCTCGAGGCTGTACTTCTCCGGACGTGTCGGGTTGGAGATATCGATGATCACCAACGCATGGCCAGTGGAGCTCGTGACCAGCACGAAGTTATCTTGGCGAACGCACAAGTGCAGGAATTTGATAGCACGGTGGACACACGCATACAGCCTGCAAATGCCTACAGACTGTCAACCACATATTCCTGAGCCATCAGTTGCTGCCCCTCCGTCTGGCACAAATCCCTAGTGAGACTTAGTGACAGCCATGCTGCCGAGAGCAGCGACGCTGGTTGGAAACTGCATATCATCAGGATCATGGAGTGATCCTGGGCTTGCTGTCTGACAGGTGAACCGCTGAGTTCAAGCTGGGAGCTCAGGTAGACAACGTCTTGCTTTCAGACATGACTTGCGCTCACTCGCATGCATTACCCAACCATGCACTGATATTTTCAACAGATTTGGCTTCAAGCTGCATCTTTGGACAACCTATGGCTCCAACCCAGTCCAAGAAACCTGTCAGAGTCATGTGCGCTGGCCTGGAAATGTCGATGACACACAGGGTGTGAGAATAGGTACCTGTTGCGCAGGTGTTCTCTGTGCAAGTGCCCAGCTGAGCATTGGCTGCTTGTTTCTGGAATGCCATGAGCCCAAACCTTATGGCAAGACCACAACATCCAACACCCTCTCATGTTGAAAATTCTGTGCAGCATGATGCAACACTACTTTGACCTCTCTGCTTTTAAGCTACTCCTTGCACAAAACCGCAAGTCTTCCAGGCTGCTGCTTCAGTGTATCCTATTGCTCTGGCCACCCTTCTGCCGCCTTTGTATAGCTGCTCAGGCGCTGTGTTGTCAGCAATGTCTAGTGGTGCCGAACCAACAATGAAGCTGTTTGTATGAAGGATCAAGTATCGGTTCCTGTGTTAGTCTGCAATGTTCCGTGCTCCTGATGTAGTAAGCTCTCTAGAAAAGCAGACTTTTTGGGCCATTGGGGTCAACGACGACTTTAAAGGCCGAGGCAGTTTTGGGCCCAAGAACCTCTAGATTTGCAGCTAAAACACATGGCTTAGGTTTGAGATTTAATTTCAAATCCTAAGGTTCTAAAAGCTGAGACTAATTTCTGAAACCTCAAATCCCACTAAGCATGCTTATTCTGAGACCTGAATTGCCTAGTAAGGCTGCTTTTAACATGAGAACTCGATAGCTGGTTCTGAAACCTGAATTGCTTATTGAGATTTATGCTTGCAAAACATTAGGAATTAAAGGCTCGAACATTGTTTCCTGAGCTACCCCTTACGGCCAGGCTGAATTCTGCAGAATAATCGGTTGATGCTGTTTGAGGGGGGGTTCCTACTAATCAAGAGTGCGGATTATGTTATGTTGCCTGTGGTGGGTCATGTTTCTTGTTGGGAGCCACATCTCTGAAGATAAGGGATTCCGTGAACAAAGCTCATCCTTCCCTCCAGAATAAAACAAGGCCTGCAACGAAGGCATAGCCGCCGTGAACGGCAACTGCCCGGGCTCCACTGAGGGCCTTCGGCTCCTCGGACAATCCCGCAACGGCTAACCAAGCTTGCAGATTGCAGATTGTGCGCGACCTGTCCTGCAACACACTCTGCATGCCGCTCAGACAAAGACTGATCCTAGACTGTCCTAGACAGCATACGTACATGCGGCGCGCCGCCTACTGCGGATGGCCATGCACCTCAATGCAGCTTGTCAACCACAGGATCTGCGCTGTGTCCCCTCCATCCTTCCTTTGCCCCTGCCCGTGCTGTATCAATCCGCGGGCTCAGCACATGAACAGTATTTTCAAGCAGCAAGATATCACCACAAGACTCCATCCGCCCCATCTATCCAAGGACCCAAAACCGTTTTTAATATCTTTAAGAATTCTTTCATCAGGTTGCACTTTAGCCACCTACCTACCGGCTTGCCAGGACCTGAGCTCGAGAAATGGAGACAGCACTGGCGAAGACGCCTGTCCCTATGGGCTCCGAGAGAAAAGGAAATACACGTGCAATGAGATCTGAAACATCTAACTAGCTGCCTTTGATGTTGCAGCTGGAAAGGGTGAATGACAGCTGGTTCTCTGGATACTCACACTTGACAGCAATGGAAGCGCGCAGGTTTCCGAACCAGGTTGCCGTCAAGCCTCTTGCAGTGAGCCAACTACACGCATATTTGCCTGCAGGGACAACAAAACACTAATTATTCAGCACATGTCACGTGTGGCTTGACCAGCCCGCATGCGAATTGTTGGACATTTCACTTCTCGGACCCCTTGTTTCACAACTTGCCCGGCCGGATCAGAGATGTCAATAGCTGTCAGCGAGGAGGCCCCCGCAGCAACCACGAAAGCATGGTGGTCACTTTCTTGGCTTAGAGCGACAGCCCGAGCCTGCAGCAAGGATTGTTGCTGCACAGCCAGAAACTCAGGCAAAATCACAGTACCAACACACGTCACACACGCATGCAGCTGCTCATCACAATTGGCTTTGTTGCGCCACGAACTTCTTAGACCTCTTGATGGAAAGGACCAGAGCACCTCAGCCATGATATTGTCATCGTGCCTTGGCTTCACAAACAAGTTGTGCAGACTGTGAAATGTACATCGCAGCTGCCCGCAGGTGGCATCGCTGCCCTCCCGAATGGCCATGGCTGGAAAGCAGTCAATTTCGAAAAATGCTCAGCGAAATTTACCGAAGGCTTCTGTGGCGACTCGCCAAACCCACTGCCACGCAGCACCCCCATCTCTCGGTGCGATCGATAAACTAATGTCGATTTCTGATTGCCACCTGGGAGCACTGAGCCTATCGGTGTTGGATGGGCAGGGTCTGACAGGCTGACCTGAGATTCGATGCATGTCCCATGGTGACTGGGAGCGGGACTTGAACAAAATGAGCACTTGCTCCATATCTCAATTTCTCACAGTTGCGACGCTGAGTCCGGGATTTGATGAAGTGACGATAAAAGCAAGATCGCCATGAATCTTCACGTCGCGGGGTCCCAACAGATCATCCTGCAGACAAAGACGTGCCAAAGACCACGTGTGTAACAAGTCCGAAACATACAGCAAAATTGGAGCTGCACTACAACAAGAAGTCCTTCAGTTCCCCCACAAGCTTGGGCATGGTGTACCTAAGTACTCACAACTGAGGGGAGCATTCCACAACTCAGTCCAAACGGGCCCACTTAGTCGACGTAGTCTTCAAGATTGGGGGCTCTGCCTGCTGGCTCCTCACATCCTGCGCGTCTCAACTGTTTGCCGTTCTTTGATTCTTTGGGTTTTACTGAAAGCTGTCGAGGGACCTTGCAAGACTTTCCAGCTCGCTGTCTGGGGTTGTCTGATTCACGGGTGTGAGATCCCCTTGGTTGCCCTTCGTAGCCGCGTCTGGTGCGTTGGTGGTGGCAGCCACGGTGGTCGCAGCGTCTGGTGCATTGGTAGTCGCAGCTATGGTGCTCGCAACTGCGGGGTCCTCAGGCGCGGGGTCCCCTTCGCCACCTTCCGGCATCGTGCCTGGTGCAATGGTTGTCGGGATTGTCTGGCTGATGGGCGTGAAGTCTCCATGATCTCCTTCGCCGCCTTGTGCAACCACATCTGGCGGGCTGGTTGTTTTCACATCGCTGCCAGACCTGAAATGTGCTGTGGCTGACACAAATGCTCAGCATGATGAACACAGACACACAGTCGCGTTGTACCACTCACTGCCCTTTTTGTAAAGGCCCCTCGCCCAAGAAACATGGAAACCCTCACTTACTTGCTGCCAGCTGTACAGGGCACTGACGGTCTCCTGCAGATGCTGAAGGCCGACCTCCGGGTGTGCTGGGAATGGTATCAATCTCGCCATGGCAGGCTGGACGGCTCACAGGCAAGATGGATCAGCTTGTTACACTCAGGGTTCAATCGAGTATGTTTATCTCTTGGTTCCTAGGGCCGCACCACTGCGTTTCAGCATCTGAATTGCCGCGCCTGGTTGGCTTCGGTGGCATTGCGAACAGTCTCGAGCCCTCAGCGCGTCTCTCCCTCTTGCCAACTGATGCGCTACAGAAAAACGGTTGTTTCTCAAACAGCATGTTTGTTCCAAGACCAGTGGCTGATGTTGTACATGCTGTCAAGGGTGCCAATCTTTGCCTCAGCTGAAGGCGTGTACGTGCATTTGACGACAAACACAGGCGTGCGTTCAAGGCAAGGGGCGAGTTGCGCGAGAAGATGTGCCTTTTTGACGTTGAGCCGGTGAGACATCTATGTTTGCAAGCATCAAGCTGCAAACGATTATGTTGGTATGGCCAGCCTGCTGCAATTTCTGGCTAAAAGCCGCATGCAAGATGATTCACAAGCTTTGCATTTGAATGTGCCGCTGTCTTTGCATGCCACAGTATTGAACATCGCACCAGGCTGGATCAAGGCCGGCAGCTACGAGGGAAATGGACAAAAGCCGAAATCCATCGGCGTCTCCAGCTACATATCTCAAATGCTGGTTCTGGAAGATCAACTGATTCTCCATTGAGCCCGGGAGAGACGGCTTCCAGTTACCAACGTTGCTGCAAAAGGCATTCCAATAACTGTCTTGGACAGTGGCGTCGGGCAGCTTCTCATATGAGAGGTTGCAGGAACGATTTCGACCCTTGAACATTCAAAGCCTGGACTGCGTCTGGTCGACATCGCATGAGCTTAGCTTTCAGGGTGCGCCTATGGACCTGAAAAGCGTTGCTGCGTGCTGCTATGAGGAACTAATAGTGACATGACCTAGTGCACTAATATGCGTCCCCGAAAGATGGCAGCGCACAGGCCCCTACGCACAACAACTCCTGATTTCCAACTGCAAGTTAAGCACATTTCTTCGCAATTCTCTCTCACCCCAGTGACTGGTCAACAAGGCCTGCCACCGAATCAAGTGAATCCCTCTGCTTTGAATGTCAGGTTCAAGAATGGCTGCAAGTGCAGCAAATCTCTTGGAGCCAGTAAGAGGTTGCGGTAATGCACAACGATATGTGATCACCAGTGTTCCCCACAGGCTGTTACCATCATATTTTTGAAGCTGGGCCATTAGCACAGTACTTGCTTTCACGCCCATCGCTACGACAACTTGTCATTCAGCTGGTAAGCTCACGGGCCAGTGCTCTCAGGCATCTAGCAGCTTGGCAGCAGCACGCTGCAGGATAATGTTCTAAAAGCTTGGCTGGATCTTCGCTGCGGCTGCACGGTGACCACCCGACTTACATCGACTTATTTCATGGCTCCGCATGCTTTGCAGCACTCAGCCTTTGGCTAGTTGGATTTGTCTTGCGGGCAGTATCTAAAGCATCCAGAACTTGATGCAACTATCATTCGGCTAGTGATTCTATGCGGGGGCTCGTTTAGACAATAATCTTGTGTCTGAACTGCGAGCTGTGGTGAAACACTACTGCAGATCACGCTGCTGGCCTTCTGCCCTGGATAGCTTGCAGGAACTGCGACTGGGATACCTTTGCAGCAGGAAAGTGCAGGGGTGACCCTTGCGGCAGCTCTACGCAACAAAAGCAGAATCAACCACCCTTGACCTGAAAGTCGTAAAAGCCAGGAAGCTGATGAAGGCATCGCCAGGCTCCCAGCAGATCGAAGCACATGCGAGGCCTTCTGCCCCGAAAGGCGTCCTGGCGAGCTCCTGCTGTCGCGCCGTTGCTTCGCAGCTCCTGGGAGTGTGAAGAAAGGCGGGCATAGCAGAGCTGCGTCTGTCATACAATTCATGTAAGTATAACACTGCAACTTTTCACAGCAACCGTCCTTTTGAATTTGGGACGAGCTGACTTGGTGCAGGCCTTGGGCCAAGGCCACTTACGGAGAGGAGCGGCTGCAAAGGAAGGCTTCCCAGCGAAGGGCTGGATGATCGAAGCGGGCTCTGGGAATGACGAGGTGGCGATTGACTTTGCACTGGCGACGACCTGTGCGATGTCATGGCATCAGAGCCCCTGCTGGAAGCTCTCGTGAAATTGCCGCTGCACTCGACGGCCATGTTTCCCAGCGGCCAGTTCGGCCCGGCCGCGAGCGGCCTCGCCGAAACTAAGTTCGACTGGGGTAGTGAGGGAGCTGCCTGTGAGGCGGCAGTCCCATGCCTTGAGTTCAGAGAGGCAGTGGAAGCAACTGCTAGTCCTTCTGCATTACTCAGCCCTGAGCCCATGCGGACATAGCCAGAACCCTGCTTGGACAGCGTCGTAGGCTTGTTTGTGGGCCCGTTCCTTGCTAGCCCAGTTCTATCTTCCATTCCGGAAGCCAGGGTGACGGCTCGGCGAACTCTACCTGCACGCTGCGATTCCGTGGTGTCATCTTCCTCATCGTAAGTCTCCCCCTCAGAGAAGACAGCTGTCTTGGACCTGACAGGGACTCGGCTGTCACGGTCCTGGAGGCTCGGAATCAGCCGCGCACTCTCCCCCGGAGTTTCAGCAGGCGAGAAGCGCATCACTTGAAATGGAGAACCACCTCGTCCCCCATGCAACTCCATAGCTGCATCAACCGCCACAAGCGGGTGGTTGGCCAGGTCATGAAGCGTTCGCACGAATTGTTTCGCGCTTTCTTCTGTCAGACGCGCCTGGATCTCTGCTTGTGTGCGCATGCGCCGAAGTGCATCGCGGTACAGCCTGGCGTAGGGCTCCATTTTGCTCACATGCCACATAATTACCTAGTTCAGCATCCGGTTTTCTAAGCAGCCTCTCGAAGACGTCGCGGCCCTTGAGGAAGTCGGTGAGTCCGGCCGCAGCAAGTGCTTCCTCGACCTGAGTGCGAGGCAGTACAGCAGAACCTGACGCTCAGAAGGCACTAGCCGCCTTCAGAAGTTGCTGAAAATGACAACTTACAAGCTTCAGTTTCCATACAGTAGCCATCCAAGCCCATAGCCGCCCCAAGCTCAAATCTCCAGCGTGAAGCTTTCTCTCAAGACGTACTTTCGGTCAAAGCTTCTGGTGGAGGGCGCACGGCACAAGGGGTCAAGTGGACAGTCTTGGCCCTCGAAGACGTGTTGGCGTATCCGAAGGTACGCTGAAAACCCTTGAAGAGGTGTCAAGGCATTCAAATTCTGCGCTTCCTCCCATTGACCTGGACCCACGAGAGCCCCCTTTACCACCTCCACTCTACACAAAGGTATGCTGTGGGGCCCCCATTTTGCATAGGTAGGTCTTTACAGCTTTTCATATAGTCCAAAGCAGATTTTGGCGCATGTCTCCATATACATATGCATATAACTAAACATATATATATATGTATAATTCATATCAAAGGGCTAGTACTTTTATAGATTAGGTCCCCCGTTAAGGGAGATGCATTAGAAAACCTAGGTTCTGGGCTCAGGAGCAGAGCCTAAGAGAAGGAGAGTTTGGGGGGGGGACTCGAAAAAAAAAAAGAGGAAAACTAGTTTGGACAGGGGTTGACTGGGGTAGCTTGGAGTCCGCCTCAGCATCCCGGGGCATCGAACCCCCGAAGCCTGTAATTATCGTAATTCAGTTCTCGTCTCTATGACCCTCTTACCTGTTACGTTTCTCTTCTTCGTTTCAAGAACACGTATGTCCCGGACATCCTTTGTGGTTTATCCCGCCGGAGCCAATGGGCATTGAGATTCGTCGCTCACGGATGCGAAGCGGGATACTATGCCACTCTGTCCATGCAGTGGCCGATGTCAAAATGATTCTCATCTGAAGGCGTGAAGGAGCAGATGTACAAGAGAAGCCCTACATCATATTGATGGCCTCAGAGATGAGGTCATGGCCTGTATGGTTGGTGCTTCACAAAATAACTTAACGTAAAGCACATAAATACACACGACATCATCATATGAATGCCAGACTAAACTTCTTTTGTAGCAAAGAGACCATGGCAACTAACTAGGGCTGGCCCCGAGTAGCCCTATAGGTTGTGCGAGGTTTGGAGGGTATCGGTTAAAGGTTGGCCATGTTGGCCCCTATCGTTTGAACCTCATGACCAGCCTAGACATGTTGCCTCTTCCATAGATTTCGTCCGGACTCATACAAGTGTCAGCTTCTAGCCACTACCTGGGCCTTATGCGGCATTCTTCATGCATGGCCCCACGCCCCCTCTCTGGTTCGCCTTGTATTGAATCTTGTCTTGTAGCTTGACACAATCACCTGATCTTGTTCGCCATGTTGGAAAAGGTACTGGACTCGTATGGCCTATCTCGTTCCATCCACGGCCCCTAGTTCCCAGAGGAACGCTGAACCCAGATGCAGAAATACCACCGCACCTGGCCTTCTACTCTCTTGCGTAAAGCAATGCGGCTGCTCGTATGAGAACATGAGTTGTGGACAAGAATTTAGAGAAATTGCATCGAACTCAACACTTTCACGAAGGGTCTGGTTTGGAAATCGTTTGGGAGTATAGAGGTGTCAAAAACCATAGCGAATATAGCAGGATTCTCGTCTTACAGAGCAAGATTCGGAAGGGCATCCCCTGCAAGTAGTATGATAAACTTATGCGTCTTGCTCTTGAGGATGAAATTTGCTGGGGTGTGCCATGCCACGGGATTTCTATTATTTCTGGAGACTTTTCATGCAAAACTTGCGCGGCACCCTTGTCAGATTGACAGGATATATGGCGGACATGTTATCGGAAGTGATGCACATTGCCTTGATGCGCCAAGTCTGAGTGGATGTAGCTAGAATAGAAGCTGCGTGGGAATTCCCATCACACTTGACCAGCCTCATGAAGGTACTCATGCGAGTATCTATTGTACATGAGCCCACAATCTGATGAATGGGAACATATGGGAACCACTGGTGTAACATTGTATGGTAACTTATATGAAGACTGATGACATTTCTTATGCTATCTCTTGTGCACACGTCTTTTTCAGGGGGCCCGGAGTTCGACTGATGGGAGCTGCCGTGGGCGGGTTTTCATGGGGGTATTCACGTTAATATTAATATGAGCGGGTCCACACGGGAACTTCTTCCGTAAGGAAGAAATTATTTACTTCGAGCATCCCCACCCTAAAGCCGTTATTGCACAAGAAGTGTCTTCCTGCAGCACTGCAAATGCGCTGCA